AGAACCAGGCATTTTCCCATGCTAAACATTTACATTCTCATTACTGTGAGTAACAGCCTACGTAGAGTAACACTCAGAAGCATTAGAAATAAGCCTCAGAATCACAGAACAATTTGCCTTTGACTTAATTAGTTTCTTCTGTAAAAATTTGATTGTGTTTTCTTCACAGAAGAATGTCTTTCTGAATTTTGTTACTGGCTGGTATTAATATTCAAATTCAACAAACCCCCTTGAGCGAAGCAGAATGACTCCATTTATTTTACCACATGCAGCCACCAAGTGCATATTTTCAGCAAGACAGGAAAAGAATGGCTAACTATTTACAAAAGAAGCAGAGAAGAATGTTATAATAATATTACCAGAGAATAGCATTAACATTTAAGGCAAACTTAAGATAAACATGTTACAGTAGAAACTGGGTGAAATGATTTGCCCTTTTGTTTTATGTGTTCATTCATTTGGAACAGCTGCAGTCCAAGCTACATACTCAGGTGCACTCCCGAATCATGCAAATCAGTAATGCCATGGCAATATGTTCTAAGCTGTGGATCATGAGGCCACAGTATGTGTAACACAAAAATGCATGAGACTTCACAAATCAGAGGGAGTTTCCTTTCCATAAGCTGCCACACAACGCCATACTCTTGTCCTTGACATGTAATTTGACATATTTGATCTACTTTTTATACAAACAATGGGATTTGCAGCACTATTCTCGGCTTGAAAAAATAATTTGAGTGGGGATTTACTTCATACAGAACATGGTCATGAAAATCTGCACCATTTTTTGTCAACCGTACTGTAGCTTCTTCCATGACATAAAAATCAGTTTGCTGCAACTTTAAGTTCTTTCCCAGATCTTACATTATAAAGGAAACATTAAACAGCCAAACATAGAAATTTAACATGTACTAAACATGTCATTGTCCTCGTTTCTACCAAATCTCACTGCCATTTCATTTTCGTAAATGGTATTTTATTCTGAAATATATAATTTTACTTTCAATAAAAACTTCTCACTAATTGCAGTTTTATCTCCAGAATTAAAGTCTTCAGCATGTCTCCCCCAGGAATTAGCACATTCAGTTCCTGACTGTATGCATGTCACTGATATATTAGCAACTGTTCTCTTGCCCTTACAAAGAGACAAAAAGATGTCAACAGTAAATACCAGTCTTTCTCAAACTTAACTGCTTCTCATTCAAAAGAACTTGATACAGAGCATCATGACACAGTCCAGAAAAAGGAAAAATTGTGAGTTCATCCAAGAATGCATAAGCAAATAATAACTTTGTGCCCTTCTTCTAGGCAATATCAAAACCCAGAATTTTCCAGCTGACAGAAGAAAGGAGAAAATCTAAGAAAATTGAACTCTCTCTCAACTATGTCTCACAATATGAAGTTGTTATAACAAAATATCATCAAAACATAATTCAAGACTGATTGGATCTAATTTTTTGAATGTACGGCACTGAGCCAGGAAAAATCTGTCATTAAATGGTTGGCAGCCCACAGCATACACAATGAATTATACCAACGCTTCAGTGCATTTGCTAAGAGCTTCCACTGAAAAATCTTTTGGAACAATTTTACTCAAGAATATGAATTACAAGTTTAACCCACAAAATAACATCAAAAAATGGAAGCCAAAATCCTGTGACATTATGCAGACAAACTGGCAGGTCTCCAGGAAATGTGCAGACTGCTGCTGTCCATAAACACCTAGGCCTTCAGCTGTCATTGCAAGCTTTGGTGGTGAAGAAAAAGAGCAAAAGTCCTAATGAGTTACACTATGACTTTCAAGGCACAGATGCTAGACAGATATTTATGCATTATCAACTTGTCCAGTGCCACCTCCGGAAATAAAATACTGCATGAATTCAGAACAGTTTCTCTCGAAGTAGAAGGATGAAAAACTGCCATCTTTGTCATTTAGAAAACCTAATATCTACTCATATTCAGAAATGTTTGATATCTAGGATGTCTGAAGAAAGTCTCAGCTTATTAGTTATTGAACTGCAATCCTTCTAATTTGTTCAGCTAAATTCATTCATCAAATACAAGTTATAATCTGACATTAAAGCTACTGCAATAAACCTGGAAGTAATTTTGGGACTCTTTATCTCTTGAAACACAAGCATAACAGAAACCATTCAATAAATCTGTTGCTGTTATCACAATTTTCCACTGAAGATTGAACTGAATCTTGGACTACATTCAGGAATTCAACAGTGTGAAGACAAGCCCTATGACTCACAGAATGGCCAGGGTTGGAAGAGTCCTCAAGGATCACGAATCTCCACCCCTCTGCTACATGCAGGTCCACCAACCTTCCATTCATTACTAGACCAGGCTGCTCAGGGTCCCATCCAATCTGGCCTTGAGTACCTCTAGGGACAGGACATCCACAACCTCTCTAGGCAGCCTGTTCCAGCACCTCACCACTCTCTCTGTAAAGAACTTCCCCCTGACATCCAATCTAAATCTTCCCTGCCTCAACATAAAACCATTTCCCCTTTTCCTGAAGCAGTTATATTTCTCAATATCTGGAAAGGGAAAAGTAATGCAAGAACTTGCAAATAAATTTTCTTTTAACACCTGATCTCTTAATTTTTAAATGTATCATCATAAAAGGAAAGCCATTTTCCAGATCCTTTTGTGACCAATATCTTAAAGAAATAAATATCACTACAGCTTCGTATCTTATAGAAGTAGCCATTGTACATGGTCATTATTCATCAGAATTATGTTTTTCACCTTCTGAATGAACTGACAAATAATGTCCTACTACAGGAACTTCAACAAAGAGCCATTCACATTCAAAAGGACTACTACATTCCATCATTTTAAGCAAGTGTAGAAATAAGGTCCTTATTTTACCTCTTCTGGAAAGCTGTCTTTTACAGAATCTTTAGCCCATATTACATCTTCCCCTAAAGCAGGATGAACATGATTTTTGTAAACAGCGAAAAGGAGTTACTACTTTCAGAAGGTTAAACAATAACAGTAATACACAACTTTGTCTTTTTTAGCAGGAGGCAAGACACAGTAACCACTGGCAGCGGTTTGGTAATGTTGGAATCACTGAAGTTGGAAGGAACTTCAGCAGGGTTCTAGTCCAAGATGATGATCAAAGCAGGATCAAATTCTGGTCAAGTTGCTCAAAAAGGGAAATTTTGTAATGAAACAGTTTAATCTATTTGTGCACTATAAGTGCTATTATATAATTAGTACGCTTGATGATTATTTCAAAGAATCACTGCAATGTAAAATTCAGGTTAATTTTGAACTGCTCATTCCAGATCAAGACATATTGGAATTGCTCCTAAATTTAGTGTTAGATCTGAATTCCCAGGGCTCTTAATATTTACATCGTAAATGTTACTTATTCTCAAATCATTGTTACCTGATCTTATTCTTTTTATCTAAATCTAATAAATATTACTTATTTGTATGATTAGTATGTATTTATAATCACACACAATCTAGCATGACAGTTATAAATAATAACTAAATAAATAATAAAACTAAAAAAGATTAAGAGGAGCTTCATATTATAGTTGAACTATACGCCAGATTTATTCAGATAAATTGCACTGAAAACTCTGTGACAAATGTTTCCTATTGACTGGTCATCACCAACTGTTTAGAGACAGTCAAGAGGAGCCATTACGTAAAGTAACTTAAGAGGAATTTAGACCACATGACTCAGATTCTTCATGCCTCCTGAACTGTATAATGGTAAGAGCATTAAACAAGATCCATTTAAGTGAACAATATATTTTCTTTTTGTCATGTAAAAGTAACTATACCAGTCTGCTTTCATAGTTAAGCAGCAAGAAATCTGAAGCATACATTTAAAATTACTGAATACTTGGATAAAAGATAAGGGTACAAAGAAATTAGGAAATATCTTGAATTGCCCAAAAGCAAAATTTGCTTATCATCACTTCCATCTTGTCAAATAAGAGGCAAGACCAAATGATATTTTCAGAATGCCATTCTATCATTTGTTTAAATATATATATATATATATATATATATATATATATATATATATGCATTTACAGGCTATTTGTATAAAGATTCACAGTATTTTCAAAAGCACCCATAAAATGAACTCAAGCTAGCATTCAATTTAAATATGGCAGACATACCTTTTTTATTGCTATAATTGTGCTTTTTAACTTATGAATTTGATGAGGACAGTATGGATGTATTAATTATTTTATTTAGCTTTTTTTCTTTCACGGAAGAAATATGACTTACTGTGAATTTCTTGTTGCAGTTATTTAAGGTTGTCTTTCTTTGACATGAGTACTGCGATACTTTGCTTGCAGTAAATGATGACACTTCCGATTCAGGTCTTTTCAGAGTAGGATATTGCTCTGCTTGTTCCTAATACGAAAATAGACAAATAGCTTAAAATGACAAAATAAATACATTAAATGAGCCTGAAATATATAGCTGTTAATGCAGCTAGAGAATAATAATGCTATTACATCTTCCTAGGAAAAACTTCTAGTATCACATATGCTCCACTGATATTAAAAGTTTACGTGTTGACTGCCTGAATTCTTCATTTTCCGTAGTAAGTTCTTGCAGAGAGTTTTCCATGGCACTGCCATTTCTTGCAGTAAAATTTAAAAGCTACAAGAGTTTAAAAGTAGATAAGGTTGAAAGAAAAGGTGTATTTTTCCAGAAAACACTAGATTTGATACAAAATCAGGGAGGTTACTCAGAGAAGAAAAAGAATGTAGACAATTCACTTTTTGATCTGTATCTAAATTAAGTAGTTGCCAAAAAGATATATTGGCCCAACTCAGACATTATTTTCAGGTGTTCATCTGAACAAAGGAAAGGTGCCAGCTCTGAAATCTTCCTTGAGGGGGTTTTTAACCACGAGGCCGACATGTTCATTCTCTTTTCCCCTAATTTTGTTTCGTACAAAATGGACCAGTATCAACAAAAAGTCAACAATCCACCTCAGGAGACTCTGTAGTAAGGTGCAAAAGGAATTCCACTGAAACGCAGAATATTCAGAGTCACATCCCCACTGGCAAAAGAAAGTCCTCACTGTTCAAGAGTCCTGATCTGTTAGCAACTGGAAAAAGAAAACCTGGCAGCAGCTTTTCCAATACTTTACGTGACCAGTATTTTGATTGCTTTGCTATCAGAGGAAGTACTCAAATCTCAAATATTTTGAAAACTCCCAAAGTGTTCTCAGCACTTCTATGGGTTTTTTGTCATTTTGTCTAAAAAGATTTGGCAGATTGTCAGAAATATATTGTGCTTTATTATCCAAAAACCACAGGGAAATTGTTTAATGAAAAAAATTCACATAGATGCACTGAGAAAATTTTTGACCCAGCGACTGAATGATGACCCCTTTCTTCCCATTGTCAAAAGAAATGCAGGCATAAAGATAATATCTATGCTAGGCAAACCTTTAAATACGCGCATACACTCTCCACACACACACACAAATATTTTCATGCTAAATTGCCCTTGCATTTGATTCAGAGCAGTTAAATAATAATATTCACACACACACAAGAGGCACATGCTTGCGCAGTTGAAGGAATGCTGAATTACATGGCAGTTTTCTTAGTATACACTGAAAAGAAGGAAATTATATGTAAGACCAAGATGGGTTTCAGTCAGAATCAACAACTCTACTCATCCACTCCTGTACACCTTCATGAATTACACTTTACAATTGATTATAAGTCATATAAACTATGATTGATTATAGCCAATGTACTGTTTGAAATGACAGCGCCAGATGAAAAGACTGAACAGCATTTTACTGAATAGAATATATAATTAGCTGTTACTCTCATTAAGACCTAGACACACTAGCTAAGAAGAATAGGCCTACATGTAACATTACCTAGGTAATATTAATTGAGGATTGAAAAATGAATACAGTAACTAAGTATTTAAGAGGGTGGTAGACTGGCATGAATATTCTGCACCTGCCCTAGCAAAGATATCCAAGCATTTTTCTTGGATGTCATCCAGCAGTAGCTATGTTTCTAAACAGCAGGACATAGTTATATAGACAATAGAAGAAACTCAGGCTAGAAATCAGCAGAAAAAATGTCTAGCAAACTGTAATTACTATAATGTAATTCGTAAGAAATACTATGATGCCTGTATGATAACCACAGAGATGATCTCCTATCATCAGGAAACAAGAAGTATATTGCTTATTGGTGGGAAGAACAGATGGGAGAATACAATTTGTACAGATTATGGGACAGTCCTAAAATTTAGCCCAGGGGAAACTGTAGTGTAGTACAAGCAATCTTGGAAACTCACATTGCCTCAAAATAATTGGTAGTATCACGTGTATGAGAAAAATATAAGCATTAAAAAAACATTTTATTTTTTTCAAATATCTCCATTATACTAAAGAGAAAATTATGGTAAATTACAAAGGGACAGCTGCTGAAAAACGTCCAAACAGGTAGACAGCCTGCTTGCTAAAGGCAGTTATCATTTACATCCCATGTCCATGCTACTGTAACTGTGGACACAGTCACCCTGGCATACCCGCACAGTGACATTTCCCACATGGCAGAGGAAAGAAAGTCAGAATTAATTTTTACAGCAGAGAGGCTTAGGTGCAAAATGAATCTTATAGAGGATGTCTTGACAAAGAACAAAGCAAATTTAAAAACAAACAAACCACGAAACAATTGAAATATAATAGAAATAACAAAGAGGGAAAATGCAGCAGCAGTGAATAAGTTGTGCAGATATTACAAGCTGCATCAGGCCACATTATTCAAGAGCCAGCAACTTTGTGAAGTCCAGACAGCATTGATCAAATAATAAAGTCTGCTGATATCCCACATTTTATGAAGAGAAGGCAGCTAGTTGGTAAGTTTTTTTTATTTTCTGGGAAACTCAAACTTGTCAGTATGAAGAATTTCTTCTATTAGTTACAGCCTCTTCTCTTTCACAGGGCAATAGAGTGAGACACTCAGGAAAATGTTAAATGTGAGTTGCCTGACACATGATGCAGCAAAGGATGAAAATATGTGGTACCTTCTCCTAATATATGGGGAGATCCTTTGTTTAAGGAAATAAATCTGTTTGCCTTTCAAACAAAATGAAAGAAAAAAAAAAGAAAGAAAAGGAGGAAAAAAAGGATCTGAAGAGAGAAAAACAAACTTCCAGGTTCTTAATGCGGAAAAGGCAGAGACGGTCTAGCACAGAACAGATCCTGAGGTTGGTGTGGGTGCCCATCAGTGGGTTTGATTTTTTTTTGTTTTGTTTGATTTTTTAGCAGTCTGAAAGCTTCCCTCTAACTCTTCCTTTTCCATAACTCAGGAAGCATCAGTACTTTCTAATACTGGGATGTCCTCACAAAGCCTTTGTTTCTCCTCTCAGGTTATTGACCAGAATATCCACCTGCTTGCAATGGATGTTACACTTCAAAAAATGCAGCTCTTTGCTCAGTGGGAGAAAGACATTTCTCAACTGGAGAAATATTTTTATTTCTCTTTGAAGCAGATGGGCAGACACCACATCATGGGGCCTGAAAAATTACGTGGTGGCTATTGACTATAAAAGTCAACTGTTACTGAATGGACCACCAAAGATTCAGACCAGCCTACCTTTGGTCACCCAGCCTTTTATACTATATAAATCATTTTAACACCAGAGCATCACTCCAATCATTCACAATCAGAGAAAGGTGTACTGTAATGACAATTATAATTAATATATTACTTAATGATCTGTAACACTGATTTCATTCCCCCTGTTTTGCATAGAGGACATTTCTTCTCCGCAGTGCGTTAAAACAAGTGTCCTGAAGAAAAAAATACCTTCCAAATAGGCTGCTACAAAATCTGATAGATAAAATCTCATTGCAACTGATATTAACGGAAATTTTTACCTCCAACTTACCTGTAATGAAATTTCATCCCACACATTCATTTACCGCAATCCATTTCTTTTACTTAAAAACGCTCATGATAGTCTGAATTAAAGGTTTGTTAATTTACTTCCATTTCACATTGTACTAGGCTGACACAATGGACCAAATTTGTATTCAGTGAAAATCCAATTAAGTTAAATTATGCACAAGCTTAGCCTGGTACTTAAAAAGAAAATTAAACTTTACTTCAGTCCTTTCATCTTAAAGCAGAAAAACAGTATTGACAATATTTTTAAATTTGCTGAAATTCTAGAATCTTTTCAATTCCTTCCTTGATTGCTTTACAAAGTTATTTATTACTTGACAGCCACTGTATAATTAAGACTGGTTTTAAAGTTCACATTACAGCTGTCATTGGCTTGCTTACTGCACTGTACATTTATCAGCATTAAATCTTAAAGTTTTAATAAAAATAAAAGCTTGCACTCGCAGAGCCAAAATATAACCAATGGTCTGCTCTAGCAGTATTCCAAAAGGACATTTTTATATAAAAGAAAATCTCTCATTTATTTAAATTAAAAAAGAAGCAGTAGCAGCATTAGGATAATTTGAGACATTCTGGAGAAGGACAAAGGGAAAAGGTTGTTTGAAAAGAGAAAAGGATATTTTCTGAGAAACCTGAATCCATTGGTTTTTAAGAAGGCGTTTTAGATTACTTTTAAATCCAACAAAACATCAAAACAAAAACATCCAACAAAATTCACAATATTCTGCTTAGGATTTGTTTCTTGTTTTGAGACATTTTTCACATTCCCAGTATTTGTATTTTTATGAACTGTTTTTCTATGAAATTACATAGGGGTTTTTTTGTGGGTTTTCTCCTGCTTTGTGGTAATTACCTGAGTATATTCTCCCTTCAGCAGATTCACAGGAAATACTGCAAATATACTGCAAGAGTACTTAATTGGAAGTGCTGCAAATATAAACATGTATTCTGTCATGGAATTATGCTGCATCCGAGAGCGACAGCTCCATCTGATGTATTCTTCATTTTTGAAGTGTCATTAAACAGTAACTCTTAAGTGGAAGACCCTGAGGAATAGTTTCTGGCAATTAAAACTGACTGAAGAATTATTTAGAAGACACATTTTTTATTGGCGAAAGGTGATGTTTATAAATCATATTTCATATTTTAAAAATTAGGATGAGGAAGAAAAAAGTGGGATGTTGTTTCTTAATATTCAAGCATCCTATGCCTAACAAGATATACACCGCATGTGCTTCTGTGGTTGTAGCATTCACAAGCATTCCCATTATTATTTTGCAACAGGGTCATCATTCACATAGAGACAAATCGAGGCCCTCTAAAATCAGCAAGAATTCTTCACTTCAGAGAGGGTTAGATCAGACTTGTAACTCTTCTGATGCATAAATTAATTTCTTTGCCAGTCCACATCCATTGGTGTGCAGCTTAAGTTCTTGTTAAGACAGTGGAAGGCACACATTCTGGCATATCACAGGGCCTATTTCATAGCCCAGTGGCACCTGATATTGTCACACTGTGCAGAATTCATGGGCATCCCTGGACACAGTTGTTATTTACAGTCTGCACTAGGGATATTGTATATCACCACTTCATACTATTTTCCAGTTTGGAAAATTAGAGCACAGTCTTGTCAGAAATAGATCAGAGTAAAATGCATTGTCATTCAATGCTTCAAGGTCAAACACTACCAAATAATCAGCCTCAGATTTGCAATAACCTCCAAATTGCAGCTCAAATTGACAGATAACGCAAAATAATGATACCTTAATTTTTTAATCACGGTTTTACTCTATGGATCCAATAGTTTAATATGTATGCCTGCAAACTGCTGCAGCCCTCACAGGTCCCTAAATAATCACAGTTACCTGATAGTTTCAAAAAACAAAGGTTTTCATGTTTTTGTACCATTTTGAATATGCAAAGTGTTCTACCAGGAGGCCATTAAAATACATTCATCTCAGAGGGACATCTACTGTGATGTTAAAGTATTCGTGGAAATATCACAAGCACCACAACAAAGCACAAACTTTATTGAGGGATATTTCCCTTTTAATATCACCCTTATTGCAGGAACAACGGATATCATTTCAGTTCGTAATATGTGAGAGCAAGTAACTCAGCATTACCAGACACTGAGATTTGGTTGTTGAAAATGGTATGGCAGGTCTTCCTCTTAATTTGTTAAAGCAGTGTCATTGAAATAACTGTATGAAAAAATGTATTTAAATTCCAAAATTGCATTGCAATAGAATAGTGGATGTATATATGTTAAATAAATAAATCACAGTCATTCACTTTGAACAACACTGCATTCATATTACATTCACACCCATCTTACCACAAGGCGATACTTCATTTCCAAATCAACTGGTCTTCCCATTTCCATGCAGGCTGTGAGCCAGGAAACATCCAGTATTTCAAATCTGGAGCTGTCACCCACAGCCTGTCCCTTCAGCCAGTCCAGCACCTCTGGGTAAGAGTTATTCTCAGCCACAATATGAGTGACAGAGTCACTGTCAAGAAATACAGAAAAAATAGTTTTCTTCCTGAATCCAGCTACAGAAATGCTATTTCCATATTTACCTACCATGCATTTCCTGAAAATTGCTGTATACATTTTATGTTAGGATGTGGAAAGCAGATGCATTTTTATATCACAATATGTCTATTCCAGTTACTGAGTCTGCTTTGAGGAAAGACTTTATCCTGACAACTCATGTAAGTGCAGCATTTTCTTTCTTTAGGCATTTCTGTAAGATACCATCTTATTACACGTCTTTTTGCAACTCTGAAAATATTTGGCTTGCACAAGCATTATTATAATGAAAAAACTTTACAGTACCTGACAACCTCCCTCTCTAGATTTCCAAACAATGGAGGAAAGCTCTACACAGTATTGAAAAGGCTGTTAACAATTATTCTTTAAAGCTTTGCAGCTGGTAATATTTCTTTGAAAGTTATCTTTTATGTACTTGCATTAAGCTCTTTACACGTAACTGAGATAAATCTTACAAATTATGTGCTCACTCTTCTTTGTTACTAAGATGTCAGTTTTTTACAAATTTGATATCCTAGTTTTGTATGAAATTTTCAGTTTGAATTATTATTCAATAAATTACAAAGCAGTTATGTGAACACTGATTAAAAATACAGTGGCACAAAGGTTTTTACAATAAGTTTATTTTGATGGTTCAGAGTATCTTCAGAAAGAATGCCATCATATTTCATGATGAAGATGACACCTGCAGAACTCCGTATCTGCCTGCAAAGTCCATTCTATGGACAGCTGCATCCACATACAGGAGTATTCAAAGACACCTGGAGCCCAACTCTCATGGACCTGATGGATTGCTTTGCCGTCTTTCCATACCACCTGGAAGTTAAGCCACCAGCCACACCAAGAAGACAGAACACCACTGCAGAGATGGCTGTTGAGTATGGTCTTGCACTGCAGTTACATCACTTGTGCTAACTGCTAGAGACAGGTTGCCTGCAGAACTTTTCCAAACAAAATACATTCTGGAAACCAACAAAATATCCTAGTCTGTCCCAGTGACCCCAGGTCACACCAATAGTCACTAATTTGATTAAATCTCTAGCCACAGCTATAGAGCAAACCACAAAAGTGTTACCATGTAACTCTTCCAGTGTAAAGATAAAGAATTTGTTGACTATGCTATGCTTTAGAAATTAGAAAAGTGTCATGGTATAGCAAAATTACTCTCTTCTGCCCAATGTATTTTAATCTGAAAGACAGCAAATCTAGGTTATGTTACTCTCTATTAAATGATTTTTTTATTATTTAACCCTACTTAGTTCTACGTTACTTAAACTGTGATATCTTTACTTGAGAAAAAAAAAAAAAAAATCAGTTAGAGACATAAAACTTCTGCTTCCTGTGGTTTATTTCATTTTGTATAAAATATTCATATGTAATGTATTTGTACCAAGCTACAGATCTGGGAACTTTGCCATCACTATGCTTGCAGCAGCTGTTTAACTGAGGCACACCAGTTTCCTCTGGTACCTGTACAGCTATGCTTTCTTCTTGGCACAGAATGTAAAAAATTTAGCATTTCCTCTTGCATTTCTGAATACAAAAAATCAACAGTTAAATATTTGTCTTATCTATTAGCAGCTAAGTTGAAATTAAACACAGCACCTGAGTTGCATGCAATTTACAGGAAGTCTTAAACACTAGCAATATATAACTGTGTCAAAGCAGCCCAGATAAACCCTCTACTCAGGCTTCAGATTGTTAATGCGTGATTTAGAATAGACCAGTTCATTTTATTTCCAGAAAATTCAATTAATTTTCTATCAGAACTAATCACCTGTTTCTGATCAATACCAAATAGCAACTTGCTTTACAAATAATATCTTCCTTCCTCAGTCTTTCAAACTTGATGAGACTGAAAAATCTGTGGAAATGATTTTTTATAGGAAAGACCTAGGTGCATACTACATGCAAACAGATGCAGAGATATGATCAATACTTGGTTTTCATTTCAGCTTTTCAGAAAGACTACATAATTATGTAGGTTTAAGAAAACTACATAACAATTAGCTCGCATTCATGAAAAGCAGTATTTGGAGGAAGGCTTCCTTCAAAACGAGTAGGGCTTATTTAAGCCTCACCGTATAAATCTGCCACTGGATTATATCTTCACACTGGAATGCAACAGTGTGGAAACAACCTGCAGAGTTTCATTCCTAGGCCTTTCCTCCCAAACTGTACTAAAGCAACCAGTAACCACAAATCTCATAGGAAGGTTTTACTCAGAAGAAAATCGGATTATAGAATACTAGAGATGCTGTGGGGAAATGCCCCTACAAAACCTGCATTTTTCATCCCACGTATTTATTTTTCATTTCAGGAACTGGACATTGAATTTATAATAAAGATAACCTGACTTCAAGGGGCAAATAAATAGTGGCTTAGGTCAGGTAGAGACATTATTCATTATTTGCTTGAAATTATACAAATGCACAGAAACAAGTCTCATGAGAAACATTCACATGCTCAAACTTTACTTCTTTTTTTTTTTATTTTCCACATGAGAAACAGTAGACTGGTAAGGGCAAACATGTTAGGATTGGCAGCCCTGAGAAAATTCGGAAGCATTAATTTTTGAGGTAAAACCAAGAATTTTTGCTAGTGTTTGTGTCCTGCTAACTCTCTATCCATCAGATAGCAAAAATGAATCATGCTTTACTAACATATATTGAAAATTGAAGCATTATTAGAGTGGGAAGAGCAAAGTACATCTACAAAACATATAGGCAAAAACTTCAACTGCACTCATTTGAATTAATGCATTTACTGCACTGAAATGTTCCAAGCAGCATCACTAATGCTATCTCTAGGAATATAAACATTTTCCTACCTTAGCTCACTCGCTACTCTGAAACCTTTGCTTCTTGCCAGCTCCATCAAAAACGTCCTTCTGGTCATCCCCATCTTCCTCTGCACAATGAAAATGACAAGCTTATTGAATTTTATTTCATAATCACAGGAAAGTTTGGGGGAATACATTCCCCTCTGCCTCTTCCTCTGGGAAGCTATGGTTGGAGGTCTGATCCTCTCCATGGTGCAAGGTAGAAGTGTTTCACTTTGATAAAAGGAAACTAACAAGCTTTCTGCCAGGCAGCAGCTGTATCTAAGGTTGCCACCCATTGAAGTAATTTTACTTTGTTTCCCCTTTGAAATAAAAAACAAATGCTACATAAGCATAAACATTACCAACTACTATCTAAGACAACTTGCACAGAAGTGTTCCAGAGAGGTAGAAAATATAGTTTAATTCCTTCAAACAGACATTTTTTGGATGAAGCTTTCACAGACTAATATCAATCATGGTAAATGATGATTTAAAATAACCAGCAATATCTTCTGCTGGTTTAATTGCACAGTTTCATTAGTTCTTCTTTCAATGTTTTTCCAAGCCTTACTTTTCCAAAGTTCAGGGAACACTGGCTTTCAATATATTAATAAATTCTTCCTATCATTTCTTATGAGCCATGTCTTAGAAAAATACATCCTAATAACAGTATACAAATATGTTTTAGAATGCAAGTCTGTTCAGTTGTCATACCTATGCAATTAAGCCTTTGATTTAAAAAAAAAAAAAAAATAGTCTTCTAGGAGAGTAAACTAAACTTTTGAAGTGAAATAAAATAAATTGTTGCTTTAAAAATAAGATAATTGAAGAGAAAAAGAAAACATCAGAGGTAAGTTTAAATATAGCTTTGGCACACACTGCTGCCAATGCTTTCTACTACTGATCCGGAATGTATTGCTATCTGCATCAGGTACAGTAGAGGAAATTAATTCCTGCTTTTAAGCACCCAGTGACTCCCTAAGTACAGAGGAGATTATGGAGGCTATGTACCATCCTGTTCTGGAGCATACAGTACTGGTCATCAGAAAACTTCACTAAAATTTATTGCAGACATGCTTCATCAAGTTGGATCCATTTAGATACGACCCTGAATTTCCAACAGCACAAAGTGAGTGCGAACAACCAAGTTTACTATATGTGCATCTATTTCAGCACAAATACTGCTTCAGTGGTAAATAGCCCCATTTCTATGTCAAGTTAGATTTTTATTTTTAGTGTAGCAGAGAATTTAGTTTTTGCCAGTCCTTCAGAATTTGTCAGAAATGTTATATCTTGCAATTCTTATTGCTCATGTTCAGGAGAGGAAGCAAGGTGAAAAACCCTGCCTGAGTCAGATCTATCAACTTTATTTTCAGTCATTTTATCATGGATGGATATAAAACCTGAGTTGTGGAAAAATGACTCAAAACCTGTTTCCTGCAATTACGGTCACAAGTTTAAAATTAAAATATAAAAGGTATTACTGACATTTTCTCAGCCCTATAGTTCATACTGTTTCAACTGTATTATCACTGATATAAAGAAACTAACCATCAAAAATTAATACAGAGCTTTCATCTGAGGTCTTCCTGAGGCCATAAAAAAACATATACGTAGTTCTGTACATAGACTAGATTCCATTCATTTCTCTCATTGCCTAAGGATAACCCAGAAGCCAAAACATCTTTCCTCTTTCTGGTTCATAACATTAAGATAGTCAAAATAAATCATTTCAAGGTTATTTTTAAATTATGTGAGAATTCATATATAGGATATATATATATCATATATATATATTCCTATTCATAGGAACTAGAAAATGAACAAGATGACTTTAAGAGGCTTAAGCAAAAGAATAGTGGCAGGGAAATAAATTAGTATTGATGAATTTGGCATTAAGGTTTAGCAATCTGTTGTGATTGTTCCACGTGTGTTTTCTAGACAACTGATCAACCATTGAACACTGGTCATTTCCCATCTACATTAGTTAAATAGTTTATCTTGAGCCCTGCAAGGAATAACGTATTTGAGAACAGATTCTTTACATATGTTAAACAAAGTCTTACTTTATGTTATAATTAATTCAGTGCTCTCAAACATGCAAATCTAATTTTCCCCAGTGTAACATCAAGATGCTCATTGCCAGTAAAACCCTTCTGGCATGAAAAACATAAGTTATTATTCCTTTGTGTTATCCTTATAACTCTTGAGTTGGATTTTCAAGGATATTTAGGTGCAAAAAAGATGCAAATGGAGGCCTACTGAGATTTTCAAAATCAAAGTCAGTTAGGTATCTGGCTCCTTTGGAAATCAATTTCTGTCTTTGAACCTAATGCAAAAAGGTCTTCTTTGTCTAATAAGTACAGCATAATGTCATGGAAATGTCTCTGTCAGTGATGCAATTTTATTAAGCACACCTTCTAAAATTAACAGCATTTCCATATCCCAGCTGAGCAAATAATCTGCTCTTCTACAACCTTGCATTATAATATTTTTTAACACAGAAAGTAGAACAGACTTTTGGGAAAGAGCAAATACAGCAGAGAAAAAAAGTGAGTCTGTTGTTTATTATACAGCATTCTCCTGCCTGAATCAGGGCACCACACAGAACACTTCACATTTGGGATCAACAGCCTAAAGGCACAAGCAACACCTCACCCTCACTACACATGATCAGTGGCCTAAAACCACAGCACCTTTCTCTAGCTCACTGCAGCTCTTCCAAACTCCTGACCTTTAGGGTGGCTCAAGTCCCTGAAGGGAAATCTAGAGCATGTTTCTCCGTTCAGATGTTGTTGCTGCAGATCAGTGTTGTGAACTATCAAAGACACAGATTAAGAAAGAGATATTTCAGTATGAAGCAGCAGTCAGTCAAGCAGCCCACAGACAGTGACTGTTGCAGGGCTGGGCCTGAGCCTTCAGCGCTGATCCAACTCCAAAGGAAGTTCCTTGAGGGAAAAAAGCAGCTTCTGGGAAGCACAGTTCAGCTGCTCTCAGTGTATGTAATCATACAGGCTTTCACTGCACCTTCTGGATTTCTGTCAGATAATCTTTCAGTGCCCTACTTTCATATGAACTGCACTATAAATATTTTATAAAATGTTACCTACCTATTTTATATAGTTTTCCTGTGAAGAGTCAGAAGTGGTGGCAGGTGCTTTTAATGCAGCACTGCAGGACACCAACCTTTGGGAAAGCATCTCTTAAGTACCATCAATAAAAACTAGAGAAGTGATTACATACCTTTCTGGTTTTTGATTTAACGTTAGTTTAATACAGTCTCACACAGATTCTTGTTTCACAGATTCACTTCTCCTTAACTTTCTTTAGAATCATTGTTAATGATTCTAACACAGCAGTCTGACACAATGGTCTGACATGAAAGTGCATATGAAGTAAAGGTGTGTCACTTAATTCCTCTACATGGAAAAAAATTGCACGTGCTGACATATTTTGAAGTATATATGCTTGGGGGATTCACATCAAAAACTGCAAACACTGTAGTACGTCCAGGTGAGCAAGAAGTCTGGGAAACTAATGATAGGATGCTTTGAGTGTGATTACTTGGCTGTATCATAGTATTTGGCATGAAAAATAGAGCAGGCTTAAGGGAGGACATGAAATCTTGAAGTCACTGCCATCAAACATATAAAATTTCTGATACACATGGTCAGAATAGCTACTGATCTCTTCTTTTTCTCCCTGTACTGGGGATGAAAAACTGAATAAAAAGAATGAATTTAGTGAGATATCTCAGAAACTGCCCATGTAGAAATAATACTAAGAACTGACAGCTTTTTTTAACTGATTCTATGCACAGCTGTTTATAGGAAGGGTTTGCCCCTGTAAGCCCTTTCTGAGAAAAACAGGAAAAAGTGACATTAAGTGATAAACAATAAAGCACAGGAATAGGGTACCCCCTTGCAACATGGAAAAAGTAATTGGTGACAAACATTGGCATGAGTTACTTTCTACTCATGCCCCTAATTCCTGGAAGCATTTCCACTTTGCCTTCAGTTTCTCCCTTCAGCAGCAGACAATTGAAATCTTTGATTACTCTACTAATGGTAGCTGCTGCTCCTTGCTGCGATTGTTATTGGACTACCCTCTGATTTTTGTGCTGGTGCATCAGTAGTTTTCTTTATGTTGTGCTCTCATGAGAGCTTTGTGAACCTCTCAGCAATAAAGAGACATATCTGTGTAATCCCACTCACATACATGTTCAGGCAAGCCCTTAAACTGGTACACACCACTGTCAAACACAGTTTACAAGGGTAGAGGTTTTCTGGTTTGGATTGTGAGGTTTTTTGTTTTTGTTTTTTTAGCTCAGTCTTTTCTGAGAATTAACAGACATAAAAACTTTAGGAGATCAGGTGTCACACAAATGGTGTTGCATGGCCTGTACTTGAAATAAAAAGGTTATTTTTCTTTCTTGGTGATGACTAAATAATGCTCCTGGACATTTCATGAACTTTTTACATAAAAAGGTAATACTATAAATGCAAAAACTCTTATCTTATGAGCTCATTTCTTTCTCAGCTCCTTTAGCACCATGCTACTGAGGAGGCCATTTTGGCCATGCATCCTCCTTTAATTCATTGCTACAATAATTTCCAGTTTGTACAAGACATCTTGCAGTAACACGGCAAATAATGGCAGTGCTATTTACACTACAAAATATGTAAACAGCAGTATGAGTGAGATTTATAACTTCTACACTTACAGATAGTAAAGCATGATGTATCTAATAAAGAGAGATGTTCTTCAGCCAAAACAAAACTTATTTCCAGTATTATTTCTATTTCCAGTTTTCTACAATGCTTTTAACTATATACTCAATATTCAGGAGTATATAAAAGCTTATTTGGAATGCAGATCACACATCATTAAACTGAGGTGATAATCAGAACATGTAATACAGTAAGAGTAAATAACAGCAAGTACTGAAGATAATAATTGTTGCAGAGGGGAGACAATTTATGAAAGAAATTATGTGATAGGAAGAAAGACACAAATCACAATTTTATGCAAATCACACCAAGATAAGAAAACTCATCTCAGCTGCTAGCATACTAAACAAATGCAATGAGTAATGGTTAGCACAATGCTAGGTACGAACTGTGGTCTTTCTGCACACTATGCCCAAATATGCTGCAGAAAAATGTCAAACTAGCAACAGCTTGGGTCTGAAAGCTCTATCTTTCAATAC